CATCTTTTCTCCATTTCATCACACGATTATTATTTCTATCTGATATAAAAACAGATTGATCTTCATCAACAAAGATATAAGCAGGTAAATTGAGTTGATTAAGTTGATTTCCTTGTCCATTTCCACCTGCCACTATAATTCCTTCGTTGTTGTATTTTCCAATTTCCCATCGTCTCACTTCATTCTTCTTATAATCAGAAATATAAAGAAATCCATTTTTATCCATTGCTAAAGCAAAACAGTCAATATCTTCAATGAGAATTTGTTGATCTTCATTTAACCATTGAATCACTCGTCTGTTCCAACAATCAGCAATGATGATGGAATGATTTTGTTGATCAACAATTATATCTGTTGGATGATTCAATTGATACATTCGATTTTCTTGTCCATTTTCACCTACAATAATTTCTCCTTCTTCTTCATTACATTTCCATTCAAGAATTCGATGATTTTCAAAATCAGCAATAACAATATTTTTCTTTTCATCAATAGAGATCCCACAAGGATATTTAAATTGATTCAGTTTCTGTCCAAATCCGTTTCCACCAGCCACAGTGATGGCATTTTGTTTCCATTTGTTGAATTTTGATTCTAGAAAACGATAAAAATAAAATATCTAAAGTAGTGAGCTTCTAACAATGTGTTTTTATTAATCAACCATTTTTTGAAACTTCGAAGAAAAATCTGGTTTTAATTTAGTATTATTTTATCATATACTATCATTATTTTCTTTTATATAGGAATAAATGTTATCAGTTTAATTTTTTTTAGAAATTATTTGTTAAAAACTTACTTTTTTCTAATGAAATAACTGAAATTTCATTAATGAATGGTTGGGACTCTTGTTGAATAGACATGTTTGATGGATTATTTAATTCTTGTCTAATTTTTATTAATTCATTCCTTAAATAGTCTAAATTAATCTCATTAAATTCATTTTCTTCTTGAATTTGTTTTATTTGTTCATTTAAACCATTCAATTTCTTTTCTATATCATTCAAATATGTTTTTGAAGATTTAAAGACAATTTCTCTACACTCTCGTGCTTTTTGTTCTATTATTTCAATTGAACTTCTTTCCCATTGATTAATTTGTTCTATTAATGAAAAACTTTCTGGATTTTCTTTTTGTTCATCTATTCTTTGTTTAAATTGATCATAATTATCAATAATATGATGTAATTCTTCAATTAATATTTGTCTATGTTCTATTAAATCCAATAAACAAAAGTTTTGCAAACATCCTTCACAAAGATATGTTATTTTATCTTTATTACATATACAACATTGTGTTTTATTGTTTGTCATTGCCACGTCTTTGAATGTAAATTTCTAGAAGAAATAAATATTTCCCTATATGCTCTTCCAGATGTAAATTTAATAACTCAATAATAATAAAAATATTGTTCAGTAGTACAAGAAATCGTAAAAGAATTTATTTTTGTTAATTTCAAATAAAAATCGAAACAATTTTAGTGATAGTTTTTGAATGAACGAATGTTTTAATGTAGATTTCTTTTTTACTCATTTTTATATTATTTCAAAAGACTAACTTACTAGAATGAAACTATTTGAAAAATATGAATCAGAATTTTATCTATACCACGTGTAAGCAAACAAATAAATTATTCGTTCGCTACATTAACCACATAGATGGTCACATGGTATTTTCTTCCATATATAACCATATAGTATTTTTTTTCCTTTTCGTTATTACAATTCGTTTTCTTCTGTTCTTTTGACTTCTATCGAAATGTGTTATCTTCAAGTATTTTCTCAGAATATATTATATTGTAGAGATGGGAATAGATCTACTGCTTATCGTAGAAAGAATTGTGTTTTCTTTTTAAATCAACGAACTATTACTTATATGCTTTGAAACATCATGTTTTTCTTCAACCTTCGATAAGACTGTCACATCACTTTGAATTTCTCTTTTATCGATGAAATTCTTCTAACTATTGTTTTTTTCTAACTATATATTTGATTTGAAAAAGAAAACCTATCGAAATAAATAAGTAAAATATGATCAAATTTAATCATAATTAATCAAATATCCCAAAATTTTCTTTTATATACCTCAGCATCGATGCATAATAGAAGTTTGATGTTTTTTCTTTTAAAAGATTCACTATGAAAAACTCTAGAGAAATGATGATACTACAAGTATCTGTGATGATTGAAATTAAATGTTTGTAATGATTAAATATCATAATAATCGTCAATATTTATTATAAATCAATTTAATTGTTTAAATTAAAAATAAATTTATTTATATTTATTAATTAAATAAAGAATAATATGATATATTGATCATTATTTTTATCATATGAAAATTTAATTAATATATCAATGTGTTGAATATTAAAATCAGAACGATATTTTTAAAATACAACAACAACAAAATTTGTTCAATAATATTTATACCAATAGCATCTGAAGTGAATCTTTGAAAATCTAATAAATGTTTTAAAGAGTAAAATATCATATTTTATCATAATTATTAGATAATTAACATAGAAAATCGAATTTATGAACATTTAATGAAACAATAATATTATTTTTATTCATATGCGATTTATTATAATAAAGTTTAAATGGTATACCAATATTGATACGATGAGAAAGATTTGATGAAAATGACATTTCTAAAGAATATTAATATTGAAAAAACGAATATTTAGAAGTCAATATGAATATCAATAGAAGAAAAAGAAAGGAAATATTAAAATTGAATGTGCTGATCTAAGGAGAATAAGTGATACGTTCAGATTAAATAATTCAATATATAAAAACAATACGAATATTCAATAGATAAATAGAAGAATTGATCATTAATCGATTCTGGATGTCAGTAATTGAATAAAATCTAATTAATAAATTATAAAATATTTGCTATTCTTTTTCTTAGTAAAATTCGACAAAAATCAACAAAAGATAAAGAATTTAACATTTATTTATTCGAAACATCTAGTTGAAACTATCAAATTAAAGTCAATTTTGATGGAAAAAAAACAAAAAGATTTTTATTCAAGT